TGCCACAGACAGCTTGGATGAATATACGGACACTGTGACGTCATACATCCACTTCTGTGAGGATAGCATCATTCCAACAAGGACCAGGGTCATCTATAACAACGACAAACCCTGGTTCACTGCTAAACTCCGGCAGCTCAGGAAAGCAAAGGAGTCTGCTTTCAGGGAGGGGGACCGCAGCGGCTACAAAGCAGCTAAATATCAGTTCAGGAAAGAACTGAAAGCAGCCAAGTCCCGGCACAGAGAACGACTACAGGAGCAGTTTGGTAACAACGATACTGCTTCTGTCTGGAGGGGCCTACGGGAGATCACCAACTACAAACCCAAAGCCCCCCCCTGTGCTGATGACCACAAGCTAGCTGACGATCTGAACTTATTTTTCAGTCGCTTTGATGCTGCCCCTGACACCTCTCCCTCCCCCACCCCCCACTACTCTAACGACCCACCCATCAGCCCTGCCCCCAGCCTAACAATAGCCGCTAAAGAGATTAAACAACTCTTCCTGAGGCTGCACCCCCGCAAAGCTCCTGGCCCGGACCACGTGTCTCCGGCCACTCTGAGACACTGCGCCAGTGAGCTTACTCCTGTGTTCACGGACATTTTCAACTCCTCTCTGCAGTCCTGCCATGTCCCGGCCTGCTTCAAATCCTCCATCATTGTCCCCGTCCCGAAGAAGCCCAGGATCACAGGACTCAATGACTACAGACCTGTAGCACTTACGTCTGTCGTCATGAAGTCATTTGAACGCCTGGTTCTCTCCCATCTCAAGTCCCTCACCTCCCCCCTCCTGGACCCCCTGCAGTTCGCCTACAGAGCCAACAGATCTGTAGACGACGCCATTAACCTGGCCCTCCACCACATCCTACAGCACCTGGACTCCCCGGGGACCTACGCCAGGGTCCTGTTCGTGGACTTCAGCTCTGCCTTCAACACAATCCTGCCATCCCTGCTCCAGGACAAGCTCTCCCAGCTCAACGTGCCCGATTCCACCTGCGGGTGGATCACTGACTTCCTGACGGACAGGAAGCAGCGAGTGCGTCTGGGGAAGAATCTCTCGGACTCTCGGATTATAAATACAGGAGCCCCACAGGGCTGTGTTCTTTCTCCCCTGCTCTTCTCCCTGTACACCAACCACTGCACCTCCAGCCACGACTCCGTGAAGCTGATCAAGTTCGCGGACGACACCACCCTCATTGGACTCATCTCCAACAACGATGAGTCCGCCTACAGGAGGGAGGTGGACCGGCTGGTGTCCTGGTGCAGTGGTAACAACCTGGAGCTGAACGCCCAGAAGACAGTGGAGATGATTGTGGACTTCAGGAAGAGCACTGTCCCCCCGCCCCCACCCTCCGTGATGGACTCCCCCATCACCTCTGTGGAGTCCTTCCGTTTCCTGGGCACCACCATCACCCAGGACCTCAAGTGGGAGCCGACCATCAGCTCCCTCATCAAGAAGGCCCAGCAGAGGATGTACTTCCTGCGGCAGCTCAGGAAAGCCAAGCTGCCTGCACAGATGTTGGTGCAGTTCTACACGGCCATCATCGAGTCCATCCTCACCTCCTCCATCACCGTGTGGTTCGCTGGAGCCACAGTCAGGGACAAACAGAGACTACAGCGCATTGTGCGCTCTGCAGAGGAAGTGATCGGCCGCAGCCTTCCATCGCTGCAGGACCTGTACGTCGCCCGAGCTCGAGGCCGGGCTGGTCGTATCACAGCCGACCCCTCTCACCCTGCACATGGACTATTCCAACCACTCCCCTCAGGCAGGAGGCTGCGGTCCATCAGGACTAGAACCTCCCGCCACAAGAACAGTTTCTTCCCCTCTGCTGTTGGACTCTTGAACACTTCTTAACCTGTCCCCCCGCCCTTTATAAAGTCACTTTACTGCCCATCATACGTCACTTTACTTCACTGTACTGCTGTCACCTTACATTGTGTGCACCATGTGCACTTGTATATTGTAAATAGTAACTGTAACTCTATTTTAAATTTAAATTTATTCTTTAGAAGTGTTTTTTATTCTTATTTTTATTATCTCTTTTTGACTGTTGCACTGAGCCAAAGCAATTTCCAAGTCTGTGACCTCCCGTTACTTACGTTGGCAATAAAAATGAAAATGAATGATGAAATGAAATGATTCTCTCCCTTTGGTTTCTCCCTTTGGTTTCTCCCTTTGGTCTCTCCCTCGGTTCTTGCTCTGGTCTTTCCCTCTGGTCTCTAGCTCTCGTCTCTCCCGTTGGTCTCTTTCTTTGGTGTTTCCTCTGGTCTCTCTCTCTGGTTTCTCCAGCTGGTTTCTCTCTGGTGTGTCCTGGTCTCTCTCTCTGGTTTCTCCCGCTGGTTTCTCTCTGGTCTGTGTAAAACGTTATTACATTATCGCTTCTTTAATAAATTCAACATATTTTCCCCAGACTCATTTGGGCTTGGATTGCGGCTGGTTGCTGTCTGAGAATCTGGCACCCTCCCCCCCTCTCCTCTCTCTCTCTATCCTTCAGACCCTGTGTAGTCCTGCCTCGCTCTCCTCCCCTCCCCCCCTTGCTTCCCCTCTCCTCTCCTCTCTCTCCTTCTGAGCCTGTGTATCCTCGCTCGCCCTCCTCCCTGCCTCCCCCCTCTCCTCTCTCCCCCTCTCGCCCTCCCCTCCCCCACAGCATCTGGTGGATAATTGGTGTGAATCAAATGGTAAATAATCCTCTTTGCTCTTTTTGCCTTTTCACCTCCTCCAGCCGCAGACTGTGACTCTGTGACACAGTGATGGAAGGAAGGAAGGACATTTGTTTGTATGGCACATGTCATACAACGCAGTCACCCATGATTGACTCTATCGCTAGTTTCACATCATGTTTCTGGCCTCTGTCACATCTGTAGAGCAAAGAGAGGACCACCCTCACTCAGCCAATCAGCTCTCAGTCAAGCAGACATCATAGAGTCACGGCAAGTCGACGTCATAGAGTCACAGCAAGCAGATGTCATAGAGTCACAACAATCAGACGTCATAGAGTCACAACAATCAGACGTCATAGAGTCACAACAAGCAGACATAGAGTCACAACAAGAAGACATCATAGAGTCACAACAAGCAGACATCATAGAGTCACAACAAGAAGACATCATAGAGTCACAACAAGCAGACGTCATAGAGTCACAACAAGAAGACATCATAAAGCCACAACAAGCAGACGTCATAGAGTCACAACAAGCAGACGTTATAGAGTCACAACAAGAAGACACCATAGAGTCACAACAAGCAGATGTCATAGAGTCACAACAAGCAGATGTCATAGAGTCACAACAAGCAGACATCATAGAGTCAAAACAAGCAGACGTCATAGAGTCAAAACAAGCAGACGTCATACAGTCACAACAAGCAGACGTCATAGAGTCACAACAAGCAGACAACAACCAAACATCATAGAGTCACAACAAGCAGACATAGCGTCACAACAAGAAGACATCATAGTCACAACAAGCAGACATCATAGAGTCACAACAAGAAGACATCATAGAGTCACAACAAGCAGATGTCATAGTCACAACAAGCAGACATCATAGAGTCACAACAAGCAGACATCATAAAGTCACAACAATCAGACGTCATATAGTCACAACAAGCAGACGTCATAGAGTCACAACAAGCAGACATCATAAAGTCACAACAATCAGACGTCATATAGTCACAACAAGCAGACGTCATAGAGTCACAACAAGCAGACATCATAAAGTCACAACAATCAGACGTCATAGAGTCACAACAAGCAGACAACAAGCAAACATCATAGAGTCACAACAAGCAGACGTCAGAGTCACAACAATCAGACGTCAGAGTCACAACAATCAGGCGTCATAGAGTCACAGCAAGCAGACATCATAGTCACAACAAGCAGACATCATAGAGTCACAACAAGCAGACATCACAGAGTCACAACAAGCAGACGTCAGAGTCACAACAAGCAGACATCATAGAGTCACAACAAGCAGACATCACAGAGTCACAACAAGCAGACGTCAGAGTCACAACAAGCAGACGTCAGAGTCACAACAAGTCGACATCATAGAGTCACAAAAAACGGACATAATGGATGGAAATGATGAGGGAAAACTCAGAAAACAAGTCAAACAGATTATTAACTACTTAAACATCACAATACTTTGCTGCTGTATGGATTTAAACGTGTGCACAAAATATCACAACATTTAAAAGAATTGATTTTTCCCAGACTCCTCCCAGCTCTGAGCTCTCTAAAGCTTACAGAACGTCACGGTGGCTTTTCCTCATTGCAGAAGCACAAACTGAGAGTGAGTAAATGTTGTTGTTTGGCGCCGTGCAGAGATATAGGACTGTGGTTTTGTGCAGACGGAGGAGGGGGAGCGATAAGAGCTGCTACTGACAGAAGCATTTTTAAAGCCAGGAAAACACACACACACACACACACTCCCGCTAACACACACACACACTAACACACACACACACACACAAATCTGTTTTCTCCACTTTCTGCTGGTTAAGCCTTTTGCTCAAATGTCGCGTCAGAAAATGGGAAAAACGCAAATGGAGTTAGTGCATAATAATAATAATAATAATAATAATCTTTATTTGTATAGCACTTTTAAAAACAATATTTACAAAGTGCTGCACAGTCAGCATAATAAAAATAATAACATAATGCAAAGTCAAAATAATTAGATACATACAGATACAAACACAAGAAGGGAGACACAATAAAGACAGAGCAGACATTGAAATGGAGCTTAAGCGGAGGTTCAGTATGGTAGACTACCTACGTTATCACACCAGGCTTGACCACGCCTTACTCAGCCTGTCTTAATCAACTCCCCGCAGCTGTGTCAATCAAGCCAGCGTTTAAGAGCAAAGCAGAGCACAGCTCACCAAACGATTCTTTAGAATATAGAAGACTGAAGGACTGAAGGGGCCGTCCTGGCCCACACTCCATTTCGGAAGGTGGCGGTAATGCACCTCAAGGTTGTTTGCCAACCGCCAATAAACCTCAATAGAAGAAGAAGGAGCTCACCAAACGGACTTCAAGCTGCAATGGGTTGCTCTTCGTCACCTTGTTACTCACGCCTCGCACATTGTTCGTCCTGCATGGTCGCGGCTCCTCTTCCACATCACATGTTTGGGGCTGCGCGCCATGGTCGCTGTGTCTCCACCGCGGCTCACCGCGGCTCCTCTCCTGCGGACTTGCTGCCGCTCGTCTCCCCGTGGCCGCTGCTACTCGCGGCCAGGCGTTACTCCGTGCACCCTGCAGCTTCCATACCGGGCACGCTACTTCTGTCTCCCTGCCGTTGTCTGCCTGCCGCTGTCCACCCGTCTCCCTGCCTCCACTCACGGTACAGTGTCGGTTTCGTGTTTTCCGCACTACCATGAACGTACTGAACTGCGGCGTGTCAGTTAATCCCGCCGAATTGTCTCGCAGGCTGTGTTTCTACCCGCTGCATTGCTCTTCAGGCTGTTCGTTTTACCATCTGCATTGGCATTTAGACTGTCCGTTTTCACCATGGACCGTACATTTTAACCACTGTGTTGGCCTTCTGGCTGTCCGTTTTACTCATGGGCTGAACATTCTACACACTGCAGTGGCCTCCAGGCTGTCCGTTTTACTATGGACTGAAAATTTTACCCACTGCAGTGACCTCCAGGCTGTCAGTTTTACTATGGACTGAACATTTTACCCACTGCATTGACCTTCAGGCTGTCAGGTGTAACCATGGACTATAACATTTGTCGTCTGCATTGGCCTTCGCTCTGTCTAAATTGACCGTGGACTGTAAGTTTTGTCCACTGCATTGATCTGATTGGTCGGTGCGCGGCCGAGCCCCTCTGTGCTGTTCATTTGCCCAGTGCTCTGGCCTTACGCCACGCTTCGACGCCACGCTTCGACGCCACGCTTCGACGCCACGCTTCGACGCCACGCTTCGACGCCGCACGCTTTGACGCCGCACGCTTTGACGCCGCACGCTTTGACGCCGCACGCTTTGACGCCGCACGCTTTGACGCCGCACGCTTGGACTCCTCCTCCACGCCGCACGCTTTGACGCCGCACGCTTGGACTCCTCCTCCACGCCGCACGCTTTGACGCCGCACGCTTGGACTCCTCCTCCACGCCGCACGCTTTGACGCCGCACGCTTGGACTCCTCCTCCACGCTTTGACGCCGCACGCTTGGACTCCTCCTCCACGCCGCACGCTTTGACGGCGCACGCTTGGACTCCTCCTCCACGCCGCACGCTTTGACGCCGCACGCTTGGACTCCTCCTCCACGCCGCACGCTTTGACGCCGCACGCTTGGACTCCTCCTCCACGCCGCACGCTTTGACGCCGCACGCTTTGACGCCGCACGCTTTGACGCCGCACGCTTTGACGCCGCACGCTTTGACGCCGCACGCTTGGACTCCTCCTCCACGCCGCACGCTTTGACGCCGCACGCTTTGACGCCGCACGCTTTGACGCCGCACGCTTGGACTCCTCCTCCACGCCGCACGCTTTGACGCCGCACGCTTGGACTCCTCCTCCACGCCGCACGCTTTGACGCCGCACGCTTGGACTCCTCCTCCACGCCGCACGCTTTGACGCCGCACGCTTTGACTCCTCCTCCACGCCGCACGCTTTGACGCCGCACGCTTGGACTCCTCCTCCACGCCGCACGCTTTGACGCCGCACGCCTCAACGACGCCTCAACGACGCCTCACGCCTCAACGACGCCGCACGCCTCGACGACGCCGCACGCCTCAACAACGCCGCACGCCTCAACGACCCCGCACGCCTCAACGACGCCGCACGCCTCAACGACGCCGCACGCCTCAACGACGCCTCAACAACGGCGCGCGCTTTGACGCCGCGCGCCTCAACGACGCCGCGCGCCTCAACGACGCCGCACGCCTCAACGACGCCGCACGCCTCAACGACGCCGCACGCCTCAACGACGCCGCACGCCTCAACGACGCCGCACGCCTCAACGACGCCGCACGCCTCAACGACGCCGCACGCCTCAACGACGCCGCACGCCTCAACGACGCCGCGCGCTTTGACGCCGCGCGCTTTAACAACGGCGCACGTCCGCGGCCGCACGCTTCATCGCAGCTCGTCGGCGGCCGCACGCTTCATCACAGCTCGTCGGCGGCCGCACGCTTCATCGCAGCACGTCGGCGGCCGCACGCTTCATCGCCGGTGGCCGCTGTTTGACGCCACGTTGGTGTCCGCCTCCTGCCGCATTCTCGACGCCAGGCTTCGACGCATTCGTGTGCTCTCACCCATTCATCGTGGGACCAGTGTCGACCATGGACTCGCGTTCCCTATTGGGGGGTGAACAATCCAACGCTTGGAGAGTTCTGCTTCACAATGACGGGAAGAGCCGGCATCGACGGATCAGGTCAGTGGTCTGACTGAAGACGTGGTCTGACTGAAGACGTGGTCTGACTGAAGACGTGGTCTGACACTGCCCGTTGGTCCTTTTCACTCGAGTGATAGTGGTTCGAGGTTTCTATTTTCAGCTTCGCAGGAACGCGATGCCGCAACGCCGCGACGGTGGCCTGCTGCAACGCTGGCCTGCTAAGACTGCATGAGTACTGTTCGGCGTGGCCTTCAAACCTGGCCGGCTATCTTCCCCAGGCCGCACTCATTGGCTTTTGGTGTGCAGCACTGCCCGCCACGGTTTGCGTGCACTCTGAGTGGCTGTAGGCGGTGCTCCTTCTCATGTTCCCCAGGCATATTATCTCCTGGTCTCCTGGTGCGGCTCCTGCCGCCGGGCCTGTCTCACGCTTCGCCTTACCTGACGCACCCTGGCCCTCATTCTGACCGGGCCCTTGTGCGTTGGTTTTTGGGGGTCCAGAGATCTCCTATCGAACATCAATCTTCCTGGGTAAGTGTACTTCATGAATCTCATTTTCACCTTCTAGTCTCCCCAAGTGGAATCATGTTCGAATATCAGCGCTCTAAACACCAGCAGTTCATCCTTCATTCAGCATTCTCCTTTCCCTCTCACTGCACACTCTCAGTCTCTGGACATCAGCATCGCGGGTACTGCCGTCACTGCCTCATCTACATCGGCATTAAATACATTCTCTAAAATCCACTTCGAGTCACACTGCTCCACCCTCATAAGAAGATCCTTAAAGGAGTATTGGCAATGGTCCTTGTTCTGTAGTTTAGGTCCGGGACGACTAGCCTGTCTGTCCGTGGAGTGGATTCCCTCTCTCAATGTAGGGTCTTCCGAAGGTTTCTCACTTTTTTCCCCACGGGGTTTTGTGAGTTTTCCTTGCCATGCAGGAGGGTCTGGACAGTTAGTGTCCAACTAGAAGGCCCGTGGGGATGATCCAGGATACTTTAACATGCTACAACATCTATGGACATTTTATCAACATTCATAGACTATAATTACTCCTTAAACAATCCCTCGACGACCCCCTGGTCTGAACAAATTCAAAACCTCTGCTCCCTGCATGTAACCTCTCTTCCTTTCTCTACACCCGCCACTCCTTCCGGATAGGAGCAGCCACTTGGACTGCTGCCCTGGGACTCCCTCAATCATCTCTCCAGGAGCTCGGTCCCCGGTTCTCTACCACATTCATCCGTTCTGGCAGCCCAGCGCCTCCTCTCATATAAGTACGTATGCATCTCCTGGTGGTGGCAACTCCTCATTTCCAGCATGCCGCGCACTCGAGCCGAGCTCGTGCGCGTGCCAACGCCTAGCGCTAGAGCCGAGCTCGCGCCCGGACATTACGCCGCGCACTCGAGCCGAGCTCGTGCGCGTGCCAACGCCTAGCGCTAGAGCCGAGCTCGCGCCCGGACATTACGCCGCGCACTCGAGCCGAGCTCGTGCGCGTGCCAACGCCTAGCGCTAGAGCCGAGCTCGCGCACGGACATTACGCCGCGCACTTGAGCCGAGCTCGTGCCAACGCCTAGCGCTAGAGCCGAGCTCGCGCACGGAAACAGTCACTCACACCATGCGCCTTCCATAAACGCAGCAACCAAGTCATGGCAAACGCATCGCTAGCCAAGCTCTCTTTTTGGGGATCATGATCTGCACCCAGGCGCAGATCTCTTCAGAGCACGGCCACAGCCGGGGCCTAAGCTCCAAACCAATAAACAAACTCAATCCATAAAATAAAAAACTCTTAAACGCATCTCGTCTCTTGTAGTCTCTCCAGGTTGAAATGGAGCTTAAGCGGAGGTTCAGTATGGTAGACTACCTACGTTATCACACCAGGCTTGACCACGCCTTACTCAGCCTGTCTTAATCAACTCCCCGCAGCTGTGTCAATCAAGCCAGCGTTTAAGAGCAAAGCAGAGCACAGCTCACCAAACGGACTTCAAGCTGCAACCACCTCCTCCCCACCTCCGCCTCAGGATTTCTTCACTCTCACATTCACCTTGCCTTGTTGCCACCACCAGTGTCTAGGCCCCGGGGGATCATGATCTGCACCCAGGCGCAGATCTCTTCAGAGCACGGCCACAGCCGGGGCCTAAGCTCCAAACCAATAAACAAACTCAATCCATAAAATAAACTCTTAAACGCATCTCGTCTCTTGTAGTCTCTCCAGGTTGAAATACAGTATGTGAAGTTTCAAACTAACAGTTAAAAGCTGTTTTATAAAAGTGGGTTTTAAGAAGTGATTTAAAAGAGGATACTGATGGAGCTAGCCATCAGTATCCATCATAGACTGTATACAGATGGACAATGCTAACCCGCTAGCAGAAATGAAGCCCGAACATTGAGCTATAGCCTTGACAGAGAAGTGCTCATGGTGAAGTCTCTCTCTGGCTCCTATTGACTTCCATGCAAAAACACTCTGTGGTTTAGTGCTCTCTGTGATTCTGCTGTTTATATCGTGATATTGTCTTTGTATATCCAGATTAGGGCTGGGCAATAAATCGAATTTAGGCAATTAATCGGCTTTTGAAAAAATCGAATTTGTGAAAAATGTGAAAATCGTGAAATCGAATGAGGAATATTGTGAGAGTTCCAGCAGCACAAGAATTATACTTTCAATATCAGCACAGTCTGTACAAGACTTTTATAATACGTATTGGGGGAAACAAATTAAAAATAGTTTTGAAACTTTAATATTGAGCGGGAAGATAAAATATTTTAAGGGCAAAGTTTGTCATGAGTGACTTTAATGAAAATCGATTTAAAATCGAAATCGTCCAAAGCAGGATATAAAATCGAGATTTTACTTTTTTGCCATATCGCCCAGCCCTAATCCAGATATGACCATATAAGGACTGACAATCACAGGCCTTCATTCACAGGGAAACTCCAGTTTGCCTTAGCAACCATCTTAGCAACACGTCTGCCCCTGTTACTGCACAAAGCTAACACAGTGGAACAAATGGCCGTATAAGGAAACTGGCTCCATTTTATGCT